ATTTGTTGCACAACCTTCTGCTGTTCTGAGTATGATGATCAAAATGTGCAATCACTTTGTAAGGTGTCCTGAGGCCCAGTTTGCATAAAGAATTTTAAGATTATGTTTCATTTATATTATTGTTCCAAAACCATGGATTATTGTTCAGAACAATAGAGCTCTCTTATCTCCAGAATTATCTTTAAGCAGGTGGGTCCTGTATCGGGTTTTGCTTAGAGGCTGCTGGGAACTCTTAGCCAGCTTTCGAAACAATACTTTGCAACCCAACTGAAATGCTCTAGACTATAAAAGTTAGAACTGAAGTCATCCAGTGCTATGAGCTGGTTATACCTTGTAAGCCTTGTTGAAAGTGAATTACTTTGTTTTTGTAGAGTGCGTGAAAAGCAGCTCATGGAGTCCTATGTTTTGAAATATGGCAACAAAGTTGAAGGTACATGTGAGTTCCAGACACATAGAACAGGTTGAATTGCGTGACATGAATCTTGAGAGGCAGTAGTAGAGTGTGTCACACAATATCTTGTTTTTTGGTGGTAAGCCCATCATACAGAGGCTGACATCACAAGATCACAGAATGTACAGTAACTCTATTTCCTTTTCCATAAAATTAAAGAACTAATTGTGAGTCTTTCTTCTGAGCAAAGGGGAACAACTCAACTTGGGTGTAGACCTGCCCCCTAAGGACTGTTTTGTACAACATCATGGTTTTAAAAACTTGCAGTTTTTCTTATGTTAGTCATTACACTTTGTGATCACATATGCATTTCTCATGGTTATATGGTGAACCTAACTTATAGTCCTTATCAGATTTTCAACTGAGCTGCAATCTAGTAATGTTTGTAAAAGCTGGTCTCAATATGTGATTTTTATAATTAGCAATCGTATCAAAACATGTCCTGGATAACTTTGAGGGAACCTCGATCTCTTTTTCTATAAACTGAAGCATACATCTAGGCAGAAAAATGTATGGGACCATCTTAGCACAGCAGCAAATTTAACCCTGTATTTTTTAAAGAAATAAGCCTTCAATACTTTCTGTGTTTCGATTTTTAGGACATGGTTGGGAATCTTCAATTCATCAGATGGCAGTTGCAGCTGTTAAGCTTGAGATTCTCTCAATAGCTCCAAATAGTGAAGTAAGTTGAATGATGTGAAAGGGCATAACCTCTTAACACTGTTCTGCTTTAAACTTGAGTTATTGAGTGTTATTGATGTAAGTGTCAAATTGCCAAGTTGGTATAAGTTTAGCCCCTATATCCTGCATGTACAGTGTATATTCTCCATACTGACTGAAGAGAATTTGATAAAGGATGTAACATTTTGATGTAAACAATGTTCAATTGCTCGGTACTCGAGGCAGAGATTCATTCATTTTGTTGAACCCTTACATTTTATCCAGAGATCCCATCATAACACTCTCCCTTAATAAGTTTAGTACAAGAGGGTATTGCTCTAATACATTTATAAGCCTCTTTATTTCATATTTCCAGGTCAAAATTGATGTGTCTGAGTCTTCAAGAGAATTTAGACAAGCCACTTTTGTTATGTATAACTGTGCCAGGCTGGCTAAACTGTTCGAAAACTTTGAGAAAAATGTCCTTAAAGGTGAGAACAAACAAAACAGTCATAGATGGTAAACACATGTCAAGCAATTAAGGGTTTCAATAATTTTGCTTATATGATGTGTGTGAGCTGGGTTATCAGTGAGAGGGTTTATGTAATGTTCAACACATGAGCAGCTGCAGTGTTTTATCACTGGTTAACAATGCAATTTAAGCACATAGAACTCTCCTGACGGACACTCTCATTCTATTTACAGGAGCCTTCAGAAAACCCTTTTTTTCTCAGCTCCCATATGAATTCTGAATTTTTATATTCCTGTAAGCAGCCAGCTCCAGACATGGAAACTTTTTCACTCTCCCAAGGGTGTCTGCTCACAACAGCTAGCTTCCAATGTAGTGATAAAACATGTGCTGTGAGTGTTTTGAACAGCTTCAAAAAGATCCCCGGAGTATTCCCATCAATGCACTTCTCTTTGTGTTGAATAAAAAATGTCACATAAAAGTGCCAAAATCACAGAGGTTGGTGAGATATAGTTATGCTGCAAATGCATTGTGCAACTGAAGTGCACACAGTCAGTGTATGCTTCTACCTGCTTTCGCAATGCAGCTATGTAAATAAATGAACTGTACATTAGTCCCAATTTTTCCTCTGAACAGTCAAAGCCACACCCATCTTTCAGACTTTGAACTGTAAATACCTGATGCAACAAAACCCTGAGTGTATATCAAAAACCTGGCATAATGAAAGACATTCTGCAACACCAGTTATAGCATATATAATGTTTGGTTTAGGAACCGGCAGTGATATAACTTACCCCCAATACAGCAACTGATTTTCCTGTCTGCATTGAATCTGGTTCCCAATTTTTAATATTATAGTTACAAACTTCACTGGGAAGATGTCATTTAGGGAGATTTATTGTTAAACCGAAAAATGTGTTAATGTTTACTAGGTATATACCCAGCTCTTCCACCCATCCAAGAAGTGGATTTCAGTCTTCTTCGTGATGAAGTAAGTTGCAGTGGCTTATTTCTTTACCTGTTGCAATGTGAGAGCACTATTCAAACGATGTATTTTTTGTATTTGCAAATATATTATCTTAAATTCCATATGAAGAAAAACAAATGGCTATACAGTTAATTATACTTAGTCAAATTCATCTACCTTTTCCTGATAGAACCGGCCCTTTCAACTCAGACACAACTTAACACATTCAATTGATGAAGACATAATAATCACTGTTCCACCAATTTGCTTGTTTTGGCTGCCTGGATGGTAGTAACCCAGTTGTAGCCAACTCCAAAAAGGCGAATTGTTTTCCCTTTATGATTTCCCGTTACAATTTTTTACAGGATGAGTGGGAATTAATACTGAACTTTATTGTGACGTTTCCATCAGTTATCAAGAGCACGGTGCCTAAAATCACTTTGAAGTCGCATAATGTCATTATCCAAACAAATAAGGTAAATTTACATGCCGAACTACACAACTCTCTACATAAATCTATTTTCTCATGACCTTGAAATGAAAACTCGCGAACGAAACAGAAACAACAAACGAACGGAAATAGAGCGATTTATTTGGTTTATCGAACGGATACAAACGCGCGTGGCTTTTGGTTGGTTAAGGGAACGCTCGGGTGAAAAAACTTCTAGCCTAAATCTAAATCTAAATCTAAATATCGTTATGTCGGCAAAATCGTTTGGGACATCACGCCAACTCTAAGATAATAATAAATAAAACTATACTAAAATATACAAAACTATTAAAAACTACTTATAAAAATAAAACTAAATTAGTTTGCTTTTAAAAATACAGAGGGATTGGCTGGAAACAGTTTCTTCTGGAAGTTTGTTCCATTCAGTTATTGTCCTGGGAAAAAAAGAAAATCTAAAAATATCTTTAAGTCCTTTCGGTACAATAAATTTAAAATCATGGCTTCCCCGGGTTCTCCTTTCTTTGCTTGTTATCAAATAATCCCCCCAATCCCCATCTAGGAGGCCGTGGCACATCTTGTATAAGCAAGCTCTCCATTTAGGGGATATCGTGAAAAGTACACGGAGAGCTTGCTCGCAGGCTAAAAAACTTCATGCCCGAAGAACTTTCTAGAAATCATTGGATACTTCACTTTGATGCCATACTGCAACACGATTGGCCTATAGAACAATGGCTTCTCCATTTTAGGGTTTTCTTTGGTTTTGATCTTTTCATCCATTGGCTGATAAAAACAGCTGATGAACACGTACCGAAACCATTTTTCAAGGTCATACGAAAATCGCTCTACAGTCTAACCTCTCCTTACGGACACCACCGTAATACGGACACCTCTCTATTACGGACAGATCATTTGGTCCCAGAAATGCCAAAAATCATAGATTCCTTACCTCTATAATACGGACACCTCTGTAAAGCGGACACTTGGTTCTGTCCCTTTGGTGTCCGTATTAAAGAGGTTTGACTGTATCATGTTCCCTCAAGTACTGTAGTCTTTCAAATGAATAAGTGCAAATGAAATATAACTACTATGCAATTTTCCAGTACGCTAAAGGTCTTTTCAAGGATAATGAAATGTACAATCAAAGTTGAATAAGACGAAAATAATGTTAGAAATCCAAAATGGCAGGAGAAACCAGTTGGCTACTTGGAGTGGTAATATATGAACCTGGCATTAAATGCCCTAAACCACTCAGTTTTGCTGGGTGTAGGTTAGTGGTGTGGTTGACCTGTTTTATGTTGCCATTGTATCCAAGGAAAGCATTGACAATTAGAATGACGCGTGAATAACAGCTCTGATGGGGTTACTCACTGGTGAAGTCACGTTTATACGAGGCAAACAGAGTTTGTTTTTGTGTAACAATGGTGCATTTTATTCTTATTGTTCAAGGTTATTGCAAAGTTTAGTTTGATAGTTTGATTTATTTACAGATCTGTTCCTTTTTGTTCACTTTGAGCCATAAATTCAGTTCTTACTACGGACGGGTGCATATTCTTGGGGTAAGAACTAAAAGCAATGGAAATAGTCTTTTTCACAGCAACCTTGCTTTGTGCTTTTGCAGCCCTCTCAAGGGTGACACCATGCAGCCTATTCAAAATGGTTACAATGTCATTTGTTTCCAGCGTTTCTTGTGTGCTTAACTGTTAAACCCTGTCAGTCTACTCATACGTTTAAATAAACGTCGTATTTCCAAAGCAAACAAGATTGCAGAGTTAGTTATGTTTAGCAGATGTTCTTTTACTAAAAACATCACCACAATGAATTATTGACAGCCTAGGAAAAAGGAGCAGGAGAAAGATGACTGTTGGCTGTTTAACTTGGATGATTACCTTGGAATGAGGCTCTTTTAAAGCATAGACACTGCGGAAACAAAACAAGTCGGCTGATTCCCGTGGAACGAGGCTCCTCATGAGCAATAGTCACCCTGGTCATCCTAGTCAATAGTCTCCTAGTATATGTGGAACGCTACAATTGTAGGTCTGAGTGTTTCCCAGTCATTCAAGTTACCGTTCAACCAAATCAGCATAGTGGCCCAAGTCACCCTAGTAAACTTTGTCTTCCTAGCCACCCTAGTCACCCTAGTCAACCATTCACCCCAGCAGCCCCAGTAGTAACTATTATGTTGGTTTAATATCTTTACCGATTTCTATACAGGAATCGCGACATCATCTTTTCCCCACCATGTTTGCAAGACTTTATCTGATGAAAACTCTTCAACAGGTAAGCTACGAATATTGGGCCGTCAAAGTGATGTCACAAACTTGTAGAGTTTGTCTTAGTTTAATAAATTCGTCAGTACAAATCACTAAGTCGAATGAGCAAGAAAGTGGAAAATTAAAAAATTTTAATGGCAATAAAACATTTATAGAAGCTCACCAAATTGAGCTTATGACAGTGTTAATGAACCGCTCCTCGTACATATGCTGTTATTAATCTTATACTGTTTTTTTTTACCTGATCAGAGGACAGCTTCGAAAACGTTTGAATTGCTCAACTTTCTTATTTGATCTTCTCCGTTTCGTTTAAGAAATCCTAACACAGTTATTTAATTCTGTTTTCAGATAATTTTGACCTGCCTCAAGCTTTTGAATATCAGCTCCCTGAACCAAATGTAATGAAAAGCAGCAGCTCAGTCTTGTGACAGACAGCTAAGGCTAAGGTCTGGGTTCCTTACGACGAAACAGACGATAACCAACGATGGTCTTATATTGGAAAAGCAACAAAGTTAAATAAAAAAAACAGTTAACTTAATGCAGAGTTTGTAGCAAAGGAAAATAAAATTTGATCCAACGTTAAAATGGCATGAAAACGGCCGATTAACCGGCCCTGGGCCATTACTCGCTTGTCTTTCGTTAATGATTTAGGTACAAGATGGTCCTTTCCCCGCAACAAAACTGGGCTACTTGTCTCGGATGAATTGACGGGACTTTTCTCGAGCCTCGATAAAATTGGTTAACATAATTATCTGTAAAGTAGATTTCAAAGTTTTTCCCTTTCTCTTGGTAGGATTGCTTGAGTTCCCTTCGGCGATTGCTTCTTTCGTGTTTCTTTCGTGCAGTGTACATCAAAGAAATTTATCAAAAAGTGTGGTTTTTCGACGTTTTCGTTTCCGTTGTCATCATTGAGCTCAAGCCCTCTACTAACCTAGAGGAAACGTGTATAGGTGGTTTTCACGTTACGTCATCGCCGCCATGCCGGTGGACGGTAAACAAAAGATCGGTCTTTAGCTCGCTTTGTTTGTCCACCAGCATTTGTTCATTTCACCATTTTTATTTGTGTCTCCCGAGAGTGCATGAAAACCACCTATTTAGCAATATTTGTTTGAAGCAAGTTAATAGACCTCTTTAGCTTGTATGTATTGTTTGCCTTATAGAGGTCGCAGGGGAACTTGGGCCTTTGTCTTTTCATAATTTATGCGTACACATGCACATGAATAAGACGAAATTTGAGAGAAAAAGTTCTCTAGAGTATTATCCCATAACCCGGAGCGCTTACCATTTGTAAGGAAATTTCGGTAAAAAATTTCTGACAAATGTTAGTGGACTTGAAAACGTTTTCGAAAAGAGAAATGGGTTAGAGTTGTACGTTTGCAAAACACCAAATGACGAGTGAGCCTGGGTTAAAACAAATCACCTTTTGCCTCAAGGGGAAACCTGGCACTGGCTAACCAGACAAATGGTACAAAAAATTTCGGCTGTTTCGGTAAAACGGGAAAAATGTAATACCTCGGAAAGTATTACTGTTTTTCCGGAAAATTTCCTTCGGAGTGAACCGTTGCACTTGAATTCTCCCCGGAATTAACGGATTTTCCATACAAATGGTACGTAGGCACCCCTGTTTTGAGAAAATAAAACTCTAAAGAGGTCTATTAGGGAGATTTAGCGAGGGGCAGTTTAAAATGAAGACTGCGGACTATTGTTTTTAGGGTTAGAAAACAATGGGACTATTGTTGTCATGTTCTCATTTGCATGGTTAAAACAATAGTCCGCAGTCTGCGTTTTACACTGACCGGATTTAGCGACGACGGGCACGGCAGCAAAAACGTCACTATTAAAGTAAATTACCTTTTTTCAAACTTTTAAAGGGTTTATTCCAACTCGCATCAACGACAACCACGACGGCAGAGAGAACTTCCAAAAAACAACAACAGTAGCGCGTTAATAAGAAAAACCACAATTTTGCACGTGGAGCACACCTCTTCGCGACTGCACGATCACAAAAAGAAATTTTCTTACGCTTTTTTTATGAAGGACGTAAACACGACGACGAAATGGGAATTTTTCTTTCTCTTTCTGAACTCGAAGAGAACTTTTGACTTGTTACGCGTGGACATCGTAGTACACTTGGTATCTCTTAACAGTCACTGTTTGACGGACAAACACCAGACTGACGGAAGCCCTTGTTCTGCACCTCTACATTTTAAAACACAAAGCAACCTTGTTTCAACTTCGGAGAGAAATGTAAAGCGTTCTCAAACGAAACCTTAGNCATCATGATATTACAAAGAATTCAGCAATTCAGTCAATATACTATGAAAAAATTACCATATCATCGATCTCAAGGGGCTACGTACGTTAACTCAAATTTTTTTTGAACAAATACTGATCAAAACCATTGGCGAGGTTAACGGTCACCCAGATTATGTAGCTTGTTTCTGATTATTGCTTTTTAAATTCCACTTAAATTAACTCGAAAAAAAGTTACCGAAAGGCCCAGAAAACGCTGCAAATCGCATTTCCGAGAGACTAAAGTTCAAAATTTCTCGGGGGGGGGGAGGGCATGCCCCCGAACCCCCCTAGCAACTCCCGCCTGCCTCGGTTGGCCGTTTGGTCTGGCTACGGCACTGTTAACTTGTGTTTTTCGAAACAATGACTGCACTTGATTGGTTTAATATGCAAGTAAACACAATTGCCCTCTCCAGAAAATATCATAACATACTATAATTTTCTTTGTTTGTCACCCCAAAATTTTGCTTAAGCATTGTCTTCAGTTTCTCTTGGGGCCATTTTAACTCCCAAGAGAAACTGAAGACAATACTTTTGCAAAATTTTGGGGTGACAAACAAATAGCATTATGGTATGTTTAATATGGTATTTTCTGGAGTGGGCAATACTGTACCGCTTTTTCATTATTATTATATGTACACTGGGGTTATTTTGTATCTATCAACGCTTGAAGCTCCACGTTAAAATTCCTAGTCAACAATATTTCAAGGAACATTTTTCAAGTTACAACAATGTTCCCCAATGGAAGATTGTGGGTTTGGATTCTGGTTCTTTTTGAGCTTCTTTCTCAAGCAAATGGATCTAAAGAAGATTCTGCGACTTCAGTTCTAGGTATCTCTATTTTTCCGCTTAAGGTGGCTCGACCCAGCATTTTTATAGGCACACCCTCCGTCTTTGAATCTCTTATACTTAAACAAATCTATCTGTATTGTAAAACGATTATGATATTATGATAATCTTTCCGGAATATGGTAATGCTGTAGAATGGGAGAAAAAAATAGGGAATAGATTTCAGAGGGCAACCAAGCGCGGTAAATTCTAACGTGCTGCATGGGGATTTGATGTTGTGCTAAACTCGAGACAATAGGAAGTCTCAGAGCAAATAGTTAGCCAGATATATGACATAGCTTCAATATTTACTCACTTTTGCGCCCATGTTAGATAACTTATGAAGTTTTCAATCGACACGAAATTCGGGGATTTAATAGTACAGTGATCAGTTAATGTAATAAAAAAGTTTTTAAAAAATCTATCGACGAATTTTGTTTTAATCGCTGTTTTCGTGTAAGTAGCCTTAGAATTACAAAAGGAGCCCAGCATTGCGTTTCACCCTGATTCATACGTTTTCTTGTGTTTCGAAATCGCGCAAGTCTACTTGCGTTCAGTGGCTTCTTCATTTGCAAAACGAATGAGTCATAAAACTTTTTTCGGAAACATCCAAAAAGTGGCAAATTTGTCTGCATTAAGTCCAGCATGCATAATTTAAACCCTTTTTTTTTATAGAAATTCCAAGATATCTTGAAATCCCTCCTAAAGATTTTTGGGAAATTTCGCACAGCAGAAGACATTTATCCAAAGAATACGTAGCGTAAAGAATTTAAAAAGAAAATGCCGAACAGGGCTGAAATTCGATTTAGAGCTAAAGCCATTATGACTTCATTGCCGCGTGACATTTATTCTGATCGCCCAAAAAACTATACCATGATAAAGTTTAGTCTTAGTGTAATCCATGTATCATAATCATTTTACAATACAGATAGATTTGTAAGAATAAGAGATTCAAAGATGGAGAGTGTGCCTACAAAAATACCGGTCGAGCCACCTTAAGCTTTGCCACTCCTACTTATTTAGAGGTTTCTATAACCCGAAACACTTATTTCATAGACGTCTTTCTAACTCAGATGAAATCTGTTAAGAACAGCATACATTCTCTCACTAAGTTCTACTTAAAACGAGTTCAATCTTTCAGACGAAAACGCACTGAAATGAACACGTAGGTGCCAGGTTTTTGCCTCTAGATTTGACAAAACCGTAAGGAAACTTAACCCTGGAAAACTATTTTAGCATTTGTGTAAGCTTTGTCGTTGGAGACCTGTGACAAAGTACAAAATTTCGTGCGCGCGCACACGTACAGAAGGTAGCGGGTAGTTAAGTTTTATTCACAGGTTTCCAGCATGTCTTGTCAAATTTCATATGTTATAGTTGTTTCTTCTTTTTTAAGACGTGGAATCATCTCAATAACTTTTTCAGGTGTGGCTAAAGATAAGTTGAGGTTGCTGTCAAAATTTAAGCTCAGGATAAAAAGAAAAGGTTGGTAAAAAGAAGTGATACTTCAGCGAGTCGTTGATAATTTTCGGTATGCAGTCAGTTTAACTTCTGCGAAATTTGCTTTTATTCTTAACTCCTTGGTACAACAGAAGTAGTGGGACAGAGTTCTCGAGAGCATCGTTCTATAAAAGATGGGTTCTATATTTTTTGTGCAGTCACTAACTTGACTAAGAAATAGAGGTAGCTAAGCACACAGGACTCGGCCTTTGTGCCACCATTTATTTCGGCAGTGGCAATGCCAGGCTTTTCAACATGCACAATTGCTATGATCTGTTAATCATCCATTTTATACTGTAAAACAAACAAACTGGATACGTTATTTTTTCTTTTGCTGTACAGAGATATTGGAAAACAGATAAGCGTCGCTCAAAATAATTCCAAAATTTGACTTGCAACGAGCACTGTATAAGGACTGTGGTTCAATTGGCT